CCCATCGGCGTTCACTCCACCTCTGGGCCGGCTGGGGAGGCAGCGCGGTCTGAGAATTGAGAGCATCGACTCTGCACCCAGACTGCCTGGAATCCAGTCTCAGCCTGGCTGAGCAGTAGCTGTGAGAACCTCGAGTCAAATTTTGGTCTGAGGAGCAAACATAAAAATTAACCAAATGAAAGAGCAAGTAAAAAGCAATTCCTAGGCAGAACCATGAGCCCTAGTGCTGTCCCTTTCATGGCCCTGATGGGAAATAACTCAGTTTCCAGAAGTGAGGAGTTGGCCCAGTTCCCTGGGGGTTTCTAGGCCATGGCACCTGCATACTTCCATGTCCCCACTGATCCAGTCTGCCATCAGCTTTATCAATACAGATGTCATCGGTACAGATGCCATTTGGGGCATCAAAGGTAATCCTGGCCTGCCTGTGCCTCAGATCTCTGATCAAAGCAACGGAAGAGCAGAAGGCAAGGGCTTTTGCCTACAAGGCAGAGTTCTACCACCGCCAGGCCTCACTCGAGAAAGCTACTGCCTCCCCCTCCCCTGCACACACTGCCACCTGCCTGGCCTTGCCTTTCACCAGCCTCGGGCAGAAGAAAAACGTCATCAACGCAGAGGTGCCTGTGCCTGCTGCCAGCCTGCGGGACCCTCATCACAACGTGGGTGGCCCAGTTCCTCCACCTCAGTGCCCAGACTGCAGGTGGGAGCACGGTGGCCTCTGCCCAGAGGTAAGGGCGTTGGCACTGATCTCTCAGGCGGCCCTGCTCCACCTTTCATCCCTCCCATCTGAGCACAACTAGGAGGAGGGAGAAGGAGGAGACGCGTAGGATGCTCCCAGAGTGGCATGCCACAACCGCCAATGTGTTCCCCAGAGCTGTCCTCTGAGCCAGGGGTCCACATGAGTCTCAGAGTCCAACAGGAACCACACGCAAATACGTGTGTTTTTCAGAGGAGTGAGTCCTTAACACTCACCAATATTTCAGAGGTTGAGAACCAAGGCCTAAAAGCAGCCCTGTGTGCCTAGAGTAAGAGTTCCTGAGGTGCATGTGGCTTGGAACCTCATGCCAAGGATGTGCAAGTGTTTCTGGGGGGTGGTATGCATTCAGGAGATTCCAGTTTTAGCATCCTGGCACTTGACACGCTGTGACAGAACGTTCCACTTCCGTGGTATGAAGACGAGAAATTTTGTAAGAACAGGGACAGGATTCTACCCCCAGGACCAAACCGTCTGACGCACGGAAGGTGTTCAAAGGTGTCTGTAAAATGACAGACTGGAAATGAACTCAGGAAATGAAGCGTTATCATGAGGCAACTTTTGAAACACCTTGGTTGAAACTACCTGTATTTGTTGCTTTTTTAAAAAAAGTTCCCTGAACTAGCTTGGAGGAACAGAAAGCTACATCTCATGTGTTCCACGGTAAACATTTTAAATTAGTACTAGTGACAAATGCGGGCTGGATTCACATTTTTACAGATGATGAAGCTGAGACTTTGGGAGGCTGAGCAATCAGCCCCACGGCAACAGCCATGCGGTTTCTGCAGGTACGTCACCTGCAGACATAACATGGAAAGCGACACAACGTAGAAATACCCCCACAGTTTTTTACATTCAAATGTCAACTATTAATTCAAAAGTAAATGAATGATTAGTCACAAAATTAAAATGAAAAAAATGTTTTTCTTTGAAAGGAACTTACTACTTTGAATCAAAGAAATGCATAAAACTTCATGAGTATTTGCAAAGTCATTACAATATCCTTCAAACTAACTACAATTTTGAGATTAAAAGACATAAGCAATAATATCAACTGACTATGTATGTATTAATCTAATGACATAAAACTGAAATTAAAACAATTATTCTAAGCAAAAGATATTCAAGGCTCTGGTCACCCTGGTGCCAGCCTCTCTGTGTTCCTGAGGCTGGTCCCAGGGAATGGCCATCCCGGAGGCCGCCTGTCGTCACAGCCCATCAGTCCGTCGGGGCTGGAGGTTTCCCAGATGCCCTTGGGCAGGATGAGCCCAGGAAAACACAAATTCTCTGCCGAGAGAAAACCTCACTCACCTCGGCCTTTGCCCCACTAACCAATCCTGCCTATTAAACTTACTGGATATTCAACAGACACTGGGAGGACATTTTCTTCTTTCCCAGAACAAAGAGGACCGCCAGCTTTCTTGCTGAGAATCAACACACCTGATGCAACACGAGCAAGAACACCCCTGGCCCTGGCCTGCCTCAGTTGCTCCCCCGGCGCAAGGCAGCCCTCACTGGGCCTGCCTCCTACTCTGGGTCCACGTGAAAAGACGCCTTTCTGCCAACAAGCCAGTTTCTTTTTTACTCCTGAGAACAAAGTTCTAAGCAAACTTCATTTTCACAGGTCCATTTTTCTAGAATTTCCCTCTACAGTAAGTGGTAATTTGTTTCTTCCCTTTTTTAATAATCTGTCTGGCAGTAGAGTCAGGGAAGTGGCTGCTGTCGAAGAGAAGTTGGGCCCCTCTGAACTGAAACCCCAACACAGTGAGAATCCAGTATCCTCTCCAGACCCCAGGCCCCATATTCACCAGAGCACCCACGTTTATCACCAGGCCAGTCCCCACACACTCTCCTCTGGGGGGCCCAGAGGACCCCGGCTGCTGCAGCTACCTCTCCCCCACCTCCACTATGGCTTTAGGTGGCTTCAAAATTTCAAAAAGAAGGTTGTGGTTGGTGGCATAAATGAACCTGACTGTCTCCTCCACTGGGTCTCACCTCAGGGTTCCCGCAGGGGCCCACACAGATTTCTGGGATGGACCTGGGATAGGAAAATGCAAGGGAGGAGCGGGGGGAGCCTGCCAGCAGCATCACCCTCCCACATTTGCTGGAGATTTGAGCAAGACCCACTGCAGTAGACGCAGCCCAAGTGGGTACGGCCTTGAACAACTGGCAGAGGCCAGAAACAAGCAGGATGACAACTTCCATCCCCTTCCAGGAGGGTTTCTGGGTACCCTTGTCCGCAGAAGACAATGTCTGAAAATGTGCCCTGAGAAGCAGTGCCCCAAATGGCATTTACCAACCAGGCTGTTCCTTCCCAAGCCTCTTCTATTTATTGGGATTAGAAGACTAATTGCAGTTTAAGGCTGGGTCTCTTCAAGTAACTAGCATGGGATTCAACACAAGCCATGAGAGTTGGTCCCCAGTTCCTGCAAAACGAGGCCTGTTTAAATGTCAGTAGAGAGACTGGGCCCAGTTCGGTCCAATCAGTTTACCAGCCCAGGCAGATCTCAGCGGCCGGGGGGGAACACGCCCCTAGCAGCTAACCGGAGTCTTCGACTCCAGAGGAATACCCAAGAATCCAGTTCTCTGCTCCGTCCTCTCCACAGGGCTTGTCGTATGACTGATTAGATTTACTTATTACTGTCTGGCCCATCAGAAGGATGACCTTAACTTTCTTTCTCAGATTTTCTACGAACACTCCTGCACACACAGTCACCAAAGGAGGGGCAGTCAGAACACAGGAGAGTAGGTGACAGCTGCTTACTGCAGCAGTGCTGAGAGTGGCTCAAGAGATAAACATGATGCGTGGGCCAGGGGGAGCAAAGTAAGGGATGAAAGCTCGGGAAAGCCCACAGCTAGGCCCTCTGGGAAGGCCTCCTCCAGCGCAGCCAGAGAGGCAGCTTGTGTCCTCCTCTCCTCCCTGAGAGGAGGACAGCAACAGAAGGAAGTCCCGCCCTTGGTTCCTTTCTTCACTCCTATCTTTCCTCAGGACAAGGTGGAACATGGAGGGCACAAGCTCCCCCCAAAACTGCACAAAGGGTGCAACCCCCAGGCACAAATTACTCTGATCTGCATTTTTGGTCGGATAAAATACGGGAGATCCATGCTTAAGGTCAGGGTGGGGTGAAAAGGGTAAGTGGTAGGTCTCAAATTTAAAACCTTTAGGTAGGTCTGACCCTAGAGTCCTCTTTCTTTCCCCTGAAATATCATGTTCTCTCCCAACATATTTATTCTGAAAATGAGGGTTAGCTAGTTCCCCCAAATGATTCACAGTAGCTCTTCCCTAAATAGCAAGCTCCTCGGGAACACTTTAAAATGGGTCCACTTTTAAAAATTCAATGTACACATCATTTCTCAGGATTTCTGTACATTGTAAATGAGGTATATTATAAAAGCTGGAGGCATCATTCCCAGAAAGCAGCTTTTCTTCCAGGCCTGTTCCTTTGTCCTGTGTGGAAGAACCCGGAGGCCTGGGAGCCGGGGCCAAAGCCATGAGCAGCTGCAGCTCACTCACCCCTGAGAGGGGGTGCAGGAGGCTGGAAGAGCCCACAGCACAAGAACCATCGTGGGCCAAACTGGCAGAAGCTCCCCGAAAAGCAATTCCCACATCTGTGCAACTGTCTGTAAAACTCTTTTTATTTCTTACTTAGCCTCTGGTAGGGACTGAGGGTAAAATGGACCTAGAAAGCAGGCCAGGAAAATGCTGCCCCAACTACTCCAAACACTGTTCTCCGAAACACAAACTTACAAAAAATAAAAATAGGAGCGCATGAAAAGCACATTTCCAGTGCCCTTTAAAGCATATTGCAGGAATCACAGGCATTTTAAAGGCCTTACCAGATTAAATGTCTGATTTACAAGAAGGATTGGCACACTGCATTCTGGGACAGCCCACCTCCCCTCCGCCCCTACGTCCTCATACTCAGTGATCCTCCGTGGCCTCAGGGTGGCATGAGCGGGAGCACAGGGGCCAGAGGCCAAGGCAGCCCGAGGAGCTGACCTGGCCACACACCTGTATGTGCATCTGGAATTAGCTCATACTTTAATTTGCTCAGACAACCTATCAGCGCCCGCATCCCCCAGCCCGCATGGAAGCATGCAGGCAGTCTGCTGGTATGGGGCTGAGGGCAACTAAAAGCAAGAGGCAGATGTCTGTCTGAGAGAGATGAAGTGCTTACAACATGTCTTCTGAATATGTACCAGGATACTGAGACCCCTTCAAGGAGACCTGGACGAAACACTGCCTCACCTCTGGAGTGTTCTTCTTGAACTCTCGGCTCTGCTCGATGAGCCGCTTTCTGGACTGCTCGCTTTCATCTTGCCGGTTCGCCAATACTGTTGCGGTGGCATCGAGTTCCCTCTGTTGAGAGAAACAAAAAAAGGGAAGATAAGATTGTAGTTGCACTTTGTACCAGGGGAAATCACATTTGCATTTGACCAGATCACTGGGGAGAGCCCCTGCACCCTGGGGACTGTCGCTCCTCGGCAGAGGAGGCGCTGGGGCGGCCGGCAGGGAAAGGGACACAGTCACGGGGTTCCCATCCTGCCCCATCTGCTGGTTTGAGAGCACCGCACTCGCTCAGCTCTGATGTGTGTACTAACACTACCTCACAAATGACTGTTTCTATAACAGTACACGCAGACACATTTTTCTTTGCTAAGACCAGAGCCAGGCCAGTGCCTAAACGCCATGCCTCCCTGGAGTCACTTGCTTCTGTTCTTAACAAGTATCTCTTCTTGTCACATCCCTGTGCTCTGTGCTCTGTCCTCCCGACTCGCCCTGCACTCTCCTCATCGGGGCATTCTGTGTGGCTGTCCTTCAACAGTGTGGGCCCAGGGTCTTCTGTAATGACACTTCATTTTCTTTCATGCAAGAAATAAATATTTATTGTGGGGCTAGACATTGTCCCCGAGACCATTAAAGTTAACCTGACATTTGTTTCCCAGAGGAACCTTCATAAGGCAAATTCCAAGAATAATGATTTCCCATATCTGGCTAACTTTCAGAAATGCGGCGCCTAGAAACAGTGGGCATTCTCGAACTCTTCCACTTGCATTGGAACTCTGAGAGACTCCAGGAGTGGGTTCCCTGTGAGAGGACCTGTCCCGGACTAAGGGTTCCAGGCTCTGCTACACATGACAAACTGACACTCAGAGCATTGGAGAGCTTGCGCCCTGACCTCAGACCCACAATTCTGGGAGGAGCCACCAAAAGGATCTGTCTCACAAAAGCCCGAAGCAGACGAGCCCAGAAACGTGTTCCAGGCTGACAGCAGGGGTTCAAGGGCACATTCCCACAGCCACCGAGAGGCCTATTTTAAGGAGACAGGCTAGCACATTCTGCTTAGGATTAAAGTAACTGCCCCAAGTGTCTTCTCAATGGTCTGGACTGTCTCTCCCCCCAGGCCGCAGGCACAGCAGAGTAAAGAGCCCTTCAAAGGCTGAAAGGCAAGGAAAATCAAAGTGAAAACCCATCCAGAGCCGTCTGGGAAGCAGGTGAGAGCTTCTCCACCCACCCTCCATCCACTGCATGAAGTTCCATTCCACCTGCTGTCCTTTTTGGTGGAAATACTGAGGTAGTCTGTAAGCCCGCTGGTGAACACTTCACTTGTGGGGTGCGCCACTGCCAGATGGGATGGCAGAGCGCTGAAACCAACATCCAGTGTGCTGTCGACTCGGAAACTGCGGACAGTTCTAATGGTGGGGCCGGGGAGGCGGGGGGCGGGGGGGGCTGTGGGGGTGAGGGGAGAACACCACACCATACTTTCCCCTTTAGTGTTTCTGGCATTACAGCAAATCTTGAGCAAACAAGTCCAAAAGAATAACGTGGGCTAGAATTCAAGAACAGATGTCAAAGCTACTGCAGAAAAGAGGGAAACACTGCACATTTTGATAGACCACATTTGAAACACAACCCAGTCGAGTGAAGGCAGGAAAAAAAGAGCAACCGAAACCAATGCAGTAACACGGGGATGGAGAGAGAGGAGAGAGAGCAGTCACAGATAAGCAGAAGGCTTTTCAAAAATATAAACAATCTGGTAGGAGGAGGACTTAGACATCTATATTTAAGCAGCAGCAGCAGAAGTTATAAAGGGAGACTTCAAGAAGAGGGGAAAAAAGCCAATACTGAAATATGACAAAAAATGTAAAGTTGACGTCTCGTTCCAATCACACACGGATGCAGGAACTCGGAGAAAAACAAAGAGCCCCGACTGCTTTCAGTGGGGCCCTGCTTCCAGACCAGGCTGGAGAGGGGCGGGGGAGGGGCACAGAGTCAGCAGTGCCGGGGGCTGGGGGCTCACCGGTGGGAAGAGCTCAGAGACAGCGGCGGTGGGGAGCCACTTTGAAGACGTTGGAGGGCAGGACGTCTGGTGTGTGAGACCCTCTGACCCCCGAGCCCTCGCCTGACTGAGCCCGGGACAGGTCGCTTGCTGGAAGGACAGCCCGCCGTTATCACAGGGCTGCAGGGCCAGCGAGCCCGAGGAGACCTGCTGCTGGCAGTCAGGAGCCCTCCGGGGGCCTGCCCCACTCCCTCCCCCACCCATGCGGACACACGGAGAAACCGACGGGGGTCTCCAAATTTAATACCTCGCTGCCACCTGCCACCAGGAAAACAGACTGGCACCATGAGGAGGAGAGGCTGAGCGTCCGCATCACTGGGTGGGCGGGCGGGGGGGTGGGGGGCTTGGGGGGGTTGGGGGGCAGGGGGAGCTGTCACCTCCCTGGGTTTGGTTGGTCAGATGTAAGCCTCAGAATCTCTGACCTAGTCCCTTGAGAAAACACCACTGTATCCTGGAGGACACCAAGGCTTTCTCAGGCTGTGGGGGCAGCACAGAGGGAGAAGACAGCTATTAAACATAAGCCAAAGACTGTTTTATTACCTACCTAGCTGGCCTACACTCCAAGTGTCAAATATAACGACACATTAACAAGGGAATTTGATGTGTTTGGGAGGGTGGCAGTGGGGTCTAAAATACAGAACCCTCAGCCCCTGAGTCACTGGTCACATGTGAAAAAGGAGCACGGCGAGTCCCCACATCTGAAAGGCATTAAATACTTGCAAAGAGTGAAATGGAAAACAAAACCCTAAATACCCAGCAATGCCATACTAGCATGTCCACTCGAGGATTATTCTGCAATGGTTAAAAATAAATACAGCCCTACACACACGACATGAGGTCCTCAAGACACGCTGAAGCGAGGAAAGCCAAGTGCAGAACAGTGCCAACACCGCATAGGACAGCCTCTATACACTCGCCCGCACGAGCTTCCACCGACGATTGCTGGCAAGTCACAGAAAGCACCTGTAGCTGTCCTTGGCTCTAAGGGGGCACCGGGGGAAAGAGGGAAGGGACTTGCTCTTCTGTGTGCGTGTGTGTATCTTCTGGTCATTTTGCCATGTGCTCGGATTACGTAACTGGAAAAATCTACAATATACATTAATTTAAAAAATCCTGCTAATGTGATAAAACACACAACATATAATTATAGAAATGTATTTTACACAGTGCCCCACACAGAAGAGTGTTCACGGTCTGCATGTCCACCTGCCCGGGGTTGGCGATGACCTCCTCACTCACTCTGCTGATGGGAAAAGTGAGGCAAGCACATCCTTTGTCAAAACAACAGCTGTTTCTTGCCCAGTGCACTGCGTGCTGGCCAGGCACAGAAAACGCCGCTCGGCCAAGCCAGGCTTTCCCGAGGAAGGGCAGAGGAGGGTGTCCCCTCAGAACTGCCGGGAACTCTTCTGCTGCTGGAAGCACCTGACGGCCCCGGATCTGAAGTGACGGGAAGCTGGCAGGGCTGGCAGCAAACCCGCAGGCCCTGCACACAGAGGCACTTCCAAGTGGGCCGGGAGAGCTGGAGAAAGTACTGGAAAGCGTCTTGCCAGGATGGCACCTGGAGAAACTGCGGGGTTTTCTTTCTAAGTGACCAGGGGACACCTGACGTCAGGAAGCGGCAAGATCCACGGAAAGACCCCTGGCTGTGGGACCACGGGCTCAGCCGCACAGGGACACCTCTCCCTGTAAAGCGGGAACTGCCGAAGAGGTGCGGTGGCTACAGTCCTGTTTTCCTTGTGGACGGTAACTTCTGGCATGCTTTTTCTCCACTGCTGACAGATCCTAAAAGGATCTCTCTGCCTGAACCTCAGTCTCTTAGACAAGTATTAAAGATTTATTAAACACAAAAAATAAACAGCAACCACAAAACAGCCTATTTAAAAGAAACTGTGGGGAAAATCTTTCCCAAATAAAACAAGTCTTTCAATAATGTCAATGATCAGTTTGGAATTGCTTGCCTTTACAGTGTGTGTGTCGGCTGCCTGTTTTAAATTGGGAGCTATCTGCAGTGCCACTTTTGTGAGACTCTCTGCCCAGGCCAGGCCCATAGAGAGGCCCCGCCCCCCAGCACCCTGGGCCCACAGAGAAATCACCAGCCAACTGCACTGGCAATGCCAGCACTGCCTTTTTATTGTCGATAACTTCAGACCAAAGGGTTCATTCATCTGATGTTTCCTTAGGGACTGGTAAAACTAATCAAACAGCAAATCCTATAAAAGAATTTAAAAGATTAGTGAAAACAAGGAATACTTGTGCAAAAAGAGAAAGGCCAGCCACAGTTCTGCACCAGGTAGTCCATGTGACATTTCCTATTTTGTTTCCAGCAACAGAATCATTTGGACAAATATCAGCTCCTCTGGCTAGAAAGAGCTGAAGGGCCCAAGCCCACCTACCAGCCTACCCTCTCCCTGGCCCCCTACACAGAACATTGCCAGCCCTCAGACAGCAGCCTCAGAGAATCCTGCCTTGGGATCGAGGCTCTGCCTCTGCTGCAACCTGTGTAGTTTTGTTCAAATAACATTCTCTAGGATAATGCATGTTAAGTCCTCCATCAAGGTATAGCTTTCTGTACTATCAGAGCCATGCACCTGACCTCAGGCCTCAATTCTTTCTGCCACCAGTTCCCCAACTAGGCTGGGGGCACCAGGGATGAACAGATGGATTGAGAGCTGACCTTGAACCCAGGTGCCCACGGTCCAGCCGAAGAAACTAGGCAGGCATGGAAGAGTGACTAGACAGAAGGGACCAGGCCGGTGGAACAAAAACAGAAGCAGAAGATAGAAGAGGGTGAACACACTGTCAGCAAGGAAGCTCTTTGAGTTTTTGTGAAAGATGCCCATCTTGGCTTCGGCCTGTGGGCGAGACTGGCTCAGTCCCCATCACCCTCCTCCTCAACTGGGCTCACGGAGCACCTGGCACAACCTGTGGGGTAGGTACTATCAGAGACCCAGAAGGAGGGCTCAGAGGAGCCAGGAGCCTGGTCAGGGCTCCCCAGGGGGAGGGTGGGGATGGGGTGGGG